TTATTATTATTATTATTATTATTTTATTCTTTTTGTAGATGAATTACACATAAAAAAAATAATCATCATATTGATATTAACAATGTTCATTTTTCCTTAGATTTCCTTTGCGTTTCCTGAATTCCAAACGTCGTTGTTTTGTGGTGTGCGTAAATAAAAAAAAAAAATAAAAAAAACATTTTCGCTTAATTCGTTTTGGGGTTTAAAAGAAATAAACTAGGGTCTGTGCATGAAGTTAGGCCTGTGAGGTGTGGGCCCTCAGAGCCCTCTGCAGTGGAACATTTCCACAGCAGCGCTACAGTCTATCTACACGCTTCTGCGTGTTGCCATAATGAGACACAAAGCCCCCCTCTAATGAGCAATTACACATAGTGCAGCCCGTTCCCATAACCAATCATTGCGTGTGAAGGCAAACATTCCTTTGTGCTGGTATCAGCGGCTCTGCCTCCTCCTCTTCATCAGCAGCGAAGGGGAGGAAGTGCAGGCTGTTTGGTGGACACCTCTACTGAAAAGACAGGCCGCTGTCACGCACATCCTTGTCAGGGACACTAAAGGTATTCAGGCTGCATCCATAGCCTTCGGCTATTTCTATTGGATACACCCTTAATTGGGAGTCTTGTTAGGAGGAGACATCAAAAAGCAAACGTTACAGCGGTCGCTCTGCACTTAAATCATTATCACCAAGAAATAAAAACTGCCTCACAGCCCCATGCGTCAAGGTGTCTCCATAGCCACTGCGTGATAATGAGGCTCACCTTGGTTGGGCTGCCCTGGCACTGATGTTCCCGGGTACCAGCCTGGCCGGGTCCCCCAAGTTCCTGTCTGACCGTTGAGCATTCTCAGCTTGTCATACATGCCATCTGCGCCCATCTGTTGCTTTTCACTCGCCAGGTTGCGGAGGACTCTGTTTATTGATGACACCTGAATGACAAATGATCAAACTGAGGATTAGAATCAGAGGAGGAATTGGATCAATCAGTGTGTTACTGCAAAAAAAAAAAAAAAAATGTTCACTGAGTTCACAACATATGGGGGGTATAATCTTAAAATTTGCTTAGAGGGATTGAAGCGCAAAAACGGTCCTTCCCGGCGCATGTCAGGGGGGATCTCACACTGTACAGTCTGCCCTCCCCTCCACTTTGAAACGCAGTGTATTTAATAAGACTGAATGGATGGGTGCCCATCTCTTTTTCCTCCACTGCATGGGGGAAAAAACTCACTGTAGCAAATGAAATCATGCACACACACTCCTAGTCAACGCACTTACGCTGGGTATGTTGTCGTTGGTGCAGATCCCCTCCGACAGCAGCCGGTCGCGGATCTCCCAGGCGAAGATTGACGGACACTCCCGTTTGTACTGCGCGATTTTGGCGACAACCTCCGGAGTGGCGACGCGGGGCTTGCTGCCGCCTATCGCTCTCGGTCTGATGGAGCCAGTTTCATAATATCTGCCCAGGATCTTGCTCACGCAGCCATTGGACACCTGGACGGGGAACAAAAGACACAATTCACATACATTATTTATAACTATTAATGGAATATCTATGATGGCTCAAATAAGTTTCACCTTTTCACTGTCCAGCACTTGGACTTCATCATGGGTCTACAAACACAGAAAATATGCCTTCAATTGTACATTAGGCATCTTTTCTATCAAAGAGCAGGCAGATTACTTTCCTTTTTCCCCCTTGCGCTCTAATTAAATTTGTTGTGAGAAAATTATATTTTTACTGCCTTGAAACTGTGAAAAAAATCGTTTTAAATGATCTTTCAGGGGCTGCTTCGTTTCTAGTTTGCTCCAAGAGATCATCATCAGACTGTGAATACAGTCTGTATTAAATATGTTTTATTCATACTTAAAAAAATAATAATAAACAGACAAACTAGAATCTCACCTGTAATATCCTGGAGATGTCGCAGGGTCGAGCGCCACTGTGAGCAAGTTCAACTATTTTCTGCCTGGTGGAATCCGGCAGCGGTCTGCCATTAACAAACACACCACCAAGCTGGTTTACGCCACTGTGACCTACATGGAGACAAACGCATCGGAGTCACCAAAGCGCAGAGCAGCACAGAAGCAGGTAACACTGTGATAAAGACTGGTGATTTTCATGTAATGGTGAGCAGGGTGACTTAAGCTGTTTAGGAGAACCGAGATACAGATGAAACATAAAGGCAGCATACAGTCAAACTGAAAGAAAACCTTTCCAATATAACGCGTAAAGAGCGCACTCCTCCCTCATAAAGCACAGTTATACAGCTGACACATGCAGAACAGGAGTCAAATGACAGCAGCGTCACACAAACCAAGCCAAAAACATCTTAATTAGCTATTTTATTATATAAGTTGTATTTAACGATCAATTACCTTGAAAAAAAAATGTTAACCAACCTTTTACAAAACCGGCAAACTTTTCCATCCTCTCACAAAGACCATCAAAGCCCATCAATAACAACCTTCAAATGATAATCGACTCCACTGACAATCTCAAAAATGAAAAAAATGCTTAAATTTTATTTTCTTAAACGGCATTATGAATTAAAAGTCGTTGAATCTGCAGTATATGCTGTAAAAATGCGCACAAAATATGCTGTAAAAAAGGCGCACAAAAGCAATAAGCAGTGGGATTCAAGCTCCATAAGCAGCGATTGTTTTCTTCTTATAAAGTCTAATTTCATATTTTGAAATTCCTCGTTAAACCTGCTTATTTTTGCAACGCTGTAAAGCAAAGAATAAACCCGCAAACCTGAAGCCAAATGGGAAAGCTGACTCCCCGGAGTGCCTGCGCTGCGCTGCGCTCTGATTCTCCGCTCCCTTCCCCTGCGCTGCCGCCCGGTGCATTGACTCCGGGAGCAGAGGCTCCTTAGCAATAAATAAGCTCCAAATATAGAAGAGGGGGAAATATGATGAGCCTGCCTGACATTTGTCTTTAAAATAAAGCTAGCTGCACGTCAAGTTTGAGCTTAATTTCTGGAAATGGGCGGAAGTCGCCTCGGATCATGCATGGGAGGCTAATTGAAAAGATCAGTTGGAGCACTTGTGGCAGGCATGTCACTTTATGACACCGCTCCGCTTTTGAAAATCGCATCGTCACGACAAATAGTAGCATGATAAAACGACCCTTTCTGTCTGCATTTGGATATCACTCAGACAAAATTGGACGCTACTCCTTTACCCTCGGAGGGAGACTTCCTTTTAAGGTGGCCGGGGGCTACGCGCGGTCACACAAACGAGGGCGCGCCTGGATTTTTAACATATTAAAAGTGACATGCATTTTTTTTCTTCCTCCCCCTTGTTTGTATTTGACAACAAATGCTCACAGCCACTGCAGTCCTGTTGTGTGCAGTCGGTGGGTGTCTTCACTCTGGTGTGCAACATCCACATGGCAATGAGTGCAGACTTTATATTATGAAGGGAGAAAAAAAAAACTTTTATACATGACTGGATGTAAACCTGTTTAACTGAGCAACACATCCCTCTTCGCCGCAACGTGTAATAATCTCCCAGCGTGGATCTGATTGATGGTAAATCCATTATCATCCCTCTTGCTCTTCAGTAATTCCAGGATTAAGTGGAATTAATGGACTTCTTACGCTGAAATTGGCCTATTCCACATTAAGCCGCGCTGCTTCTCCTCCACCACTGTATCACTTCTGATTTATACCCATCATATAAATCCTCCTGATCAATAAAGCCGTCAGATAAGGAATTCACATAAAAAAAAATCAAACTCCCCTCTCCCTGCTTCTGAGGTTAAGTCTTAATCATAGCGGCAATTCCCTGAAGTGGCCGCAGTCGATCTCGCCCGCTGGCGCTGATTACGCGCCCTAGTATTCTATTGCAAGTCGACAAATAGGAAAACATATGGTGTCAATTTGGACGCTCCCCACCATGTACACCCAGGAGTTATTAGCACAAAAGCCGACGAGGCCACCACGACCTTTAGACAACCCAAAGGGCCGGGCTCAGTGATATCTCCTCGGCAAATTCGCAGCAGACATCACACGCCAAGCCAGGGGAGCATCCCATTAACATCAATCCGCAGCAAAGCAGAAGCGCAAAGGCTGTTGTACACAGCTTTGATAAGGCCCCCATCATCTCTGCAATAGACCACTGGCAAAGCAAGCAAGGAAAAACACAATAATAATAGAATAAAAAAAAAATCCCACCACCGCGGCTACTTTCTCTCCTTATTTCCATGGGAATCAACAATCCACGTGGATTCAAATATGTTTTGTATCAAAATGCGCACAAATTACAGCACAGACATCGAGGTATATGGATTATAATATAATGAAATTATTCCACACACCTTCATCACAGATGTCATACACCTCTTGTCCAGCAGCAAGAGAGAAAATGTTTCATGTTTATCCTTTTAATGTTTCAACATACACACGCACACACACCAGAAATAAAACTTTTAACAACTTCATCTTTGCTTTTTTTTTTTTCTTTTACCTTTTACCCACAACAATATCATTTTTATTATTTATCCTGAGTCTCCACTGGTTAAAATAAGAGCTTTTGTTTCCTTCCTCCTCCTTTTCTAGTTCATGCTGTCTGTGCTGCAGGAATATATGGACTAATCTACATAAGACATTATTGCCATTCCCCGTGTTTCATGTGGGGCTCTCTTTTCTGCAGAGCTCATCTCGTATGCAGCCCTGGCAGCCAGCTCTAACGCTAATGCAGACGGCTGTGCAATTATTTAATACCAACTCAAGCAGAAACAAAAAATCTCCCTCTCGACCCACCACCTCCAACCCCCCCTTTCTCTCTCTGGAGAGTCACGGCTTTGATTAACTTGTTCAATCAGAACTTTGCCTATACATATTGTTGCAAAGACAGTTATAAGCTATAAGGGGAAAACATCTACTTCTAATTAAGGAGCAAAAATAGCAAATCATATGTATTCCCTGTTTGCAAGAATAAATATATTTTAGTTTGTGTTTTTTTTTTCTATTTCTCTTTTTAAAGAGCAAAAAAATGTCTGTGGGTGTCGCTTCCATGCCACCATATTAAAAAGCAGCGGCTGTAATGAGAATTTTCACATAAAAAAAAAATGGAGATACATGAAAAAAACTTACTGTTTTGCATCATCGAGGCTACGCCAGACTCCCACGTGGCTTGGTTGTGGTATTCTACGCATCACAAAGAAAACAACAAAACTGGTTAGTACAAGATTCAGTGATCTCCTATAAATATACTTTGCTTGTTTGTTCGTTTGTTTTACGTTTTAAATTATTTTAGCATTAAAATAAAATTTCGATTTTCTTTAGATTTGAATTTGACAGCTATCTCTTTGTTAAAGTAGATTTTTTCTTGTTGTTGTTTTCGTTTTTTTTTTTTTTGTTATTTTACATGTGCAAATGCAAAATTGTTTTTTTTTAACAACCTGATTGCATGTTTATATTTATATATATTCAGATATGTGGATTTAATTAAACTTGCCTGGGAAAAGAGTTGACTGTCCACTCTATAACAATTTAGACAATCATCTCCCGCTTTCACTACTTAATGTCTCCCTATAGGACAGAGCAGAACAACACATTAGGACAGCAGCAGCTACACTGATCTGCTCAAACCTACTAAATTCTGTGGCCAAATAAATGACTTATCATTGACGTGAAACAACATACATGTCAGCACCTGTCAAAATAAACACACGCTAACAACCAGTGGGGCTCTGCACTGCAAAAAACGATCTAGAAATGAGTAAAAATGTTTATTTACCCTTAATTTGAGCAAGTTAATTAGAAGATTTGCCAATGGAATTAGTATTTTTCACTCTTAAAATAAAATTATTTGATAATATGCACTTGAAATGAGACAATACAATAGTTTTTTTCTTATTTTAAATGTAACTTGTATTGTTCTATTGGCAAAGTATCTCTCTTTCCCCCTCAATTCAAGAAAAATGCACCTATTTTAAGCAAAAAATGAGTTAGATTTCTATTGTTTGCAGTGTAACTCTTTAACAGAACTTTTCCTCTCAGTGCTTCTATTTTGTGAAGGTTTTAAACAAAGAAATCAGGTTTTATCGTCCCAGCAAGAGGCCTTTAAACACCCCCTTAAATAAAAAAAAAGGGAAAAAAAAAAAAGAAAGAAAAACACTTAATGTAGGAACTGTACAGTGACACACGTTGTCTACCTCGCCTCTCTGCCCTGCAAAAGTCCAGAGCAGGAAGGGGGGGTACAGAGCTGTTGTACAAAGCCTGCTGCTCCCCATAACAATGCTGCACCCCCTCCTCTCTGTATACCTCCAACTCCGGGGTGAAAACTCGGCCTGCGCGACTAGAAACACGCAACTAAAACACACCAACAAGTTCAGATTAATACAAAGAGCCGGAGGCATGAATCCACCCCCTCCAGGAGCTTTCACACACACACACACACACACACCCCCTCCTCTCCCTCTCTCTCTTACACACACACACACACACACACACATAATAACCCCACTACCCCTCATGCTCCACTCTTATAGAGAAATAAAAAAATATATTTTGGCTATATAGTAAAATCAAAAGGTAATTTCTTCTTCTAAATACTTGGTGGTTGTTGGGTGCTGCTGGTGCGGTTTGTAAAGCGGGTTTCTAACGACACAAGAGCGCAGTGGGGCGCTCAATTGGAAAAGACAAATGCGGAAAAGAAGCTATTGAAAAAGATTGAGAGAGGAGGGGGGGACCGATAAAAAAAAGGGGGCCAGGCCGGGGAGAAGTCTGAAGTTTTCATTTTCCTCCTCCGTGCCTGGCTGTGTTGTGTTCAGAAAAAGGAAGAATGCAAAAGAAAGAAGGAGGTGTCTCTCATAGACATGCTTGTAAAGGCCGAGACAAGTTTGGGAAGACGCAAGCAGGGGCCGCCATTACTTTTAGATTATAGCATGTTTTAACAAATGAGCTGCTCTGTCATTAATCAAATGCAGATTCCTTCACACTGATACTCATCAATCAGCGTGCAAAACTGACGGAATATATAGACACACATTTTAACATGCAAGATAAAATAAATCCAACTTAAAGCTTGGATTTAAATTTGTTTTCAGGTTTTATATCACCCTATAAAAGCGACTGCATGGCTGTAGCGACTTCACTGGTAATAGAGCTGAGTAGTTAATCATTTATTTAAGGATGAAAGCGCAAAAGTTGTTGTTCCAGGGGTTAACTATTATCTAATCTGCATTTCTTTCACTAAAGTAATTCGGAACAACAATGTCTTTATTTTAAATGCCTTATTTTGTTTTCTGGATGCTGTCCTCTAAATATGCATGCAGGGCCTTGCACTGGTTCAACCTGACACCAAATATACAGAAAAATAGATCATATTAGATTATTTGAAATAATTGTCCTGTTAATGGTGCAAAAAAATTAATGAAATTAATCGGATATTAAAATGCAGGCATGATTTTATTTTTTTCTTCTTTTAGTTAATTTGTTTTATAATCACAAATGCGCTAGTAAATCACATAAAAGCACATCTTTAAAATAAATCTTAGAATTTAATTTTGGCATATATTTTTTAAGAAAGACAACAGCAGTCGATGACCTGTTTTAAAATCCCTAAAATTGTTTTGGAAAACTCTCTGATATTGTTTATTTGGTATTTTATATAGGGATGTATCATTTTATATTTATTTCTTATTTTAAAAATCTATTATTTAAAATTATTTCAATAAAATAGTTATATTATTTTTCTCACTCAGTTTATAGGGCTGGTAAGTTTTTAGGACTTTTTTATTTTTGTAACACCTGCAAACAAACATTCTTCCTGCGTGAAGTTTTTTTTTTCTCCTTTACTTTCTTTATTTTCTTTCTTTTTAAATTATTCTTTATTTTATTTTATTTTTTTTAAAGCGCTTGGGTGACTCGCCTGCATGAATCAATCTGACACCTTTCTTCAACGGGTCATTGCGCTCCATTCTCCACGATGATCACTGTCCTGGCTCAGCGTAGTTTTGTTCCCCCCTTTATTCATCCCCTCCATAAATAAGCGGTAACCTATCTATAAGACCTAAACGCAAACATGATGAAAAAAAAACTGTGGAGCGGATAAAATCCGATTGAGGCGCTGAAGCCACAATTTTTTTGAAAGAGTGCAATCGTAAGACAAACAGCGCAGTCAAAAAGAGGGAAAGAGCCACAAGTTTACCACTAATCCTCAAACTACAGTAAACATAATAATACCAATAATAATATTTTTATAATAATGACATTTGGATGAATAAGTTGGGAATATAAAAAACATGTTGGTTATAATCTCACCTTTTTGGGGCATCCTCCGACCTTGTTAAACTACAGGCTGCAGAGCCCCGTTCTCCACACCAAAATGATGGAACAAAAAGTAAAAAGCCAAAAAAAAAAGAAAAAAGAAAAAGCCGACCAGGATATTGGTATCTCTTGTTCCCGGGAAGTTTAGAAGAGGAAAAATTAGTTTCCAGCGGTATTTGGCGGAGACGGAGGGGGTATCCCTGCGAAGAAGACAGAGATTGACAGTGAAATCAGATGTCAGGACGCACGGAGTTTGGCGCTGGATGTGCGCTGGCGTGTGAGAGAGCGAATGAGAGAGTCGGGATGAGGGAGAGTGGGGAAGAGAGAGACGAGGGAGGGTGGAAGGGGGAGGAGGGAAACGAAGAGAGAGAGAGAGAAAAAGCCGTGGTGGAAAGTAGGTGGGGGTAAAGAGAATGAACGCACCTATGCTGATTGGTGATGGAACAAGTGTATTAATGTTATGTGTTCCTGGTCTGCTGTGTACGCCTCTCCTCTCCTCGCCTCCCTCCACCGCTCTTCACTGGCCCATTAGCGCGACCCGACCTCTGTCATCATCCCCCATATAAACACTTCCCCCCTGTGCCACAGCCAAAGCGGGAAACAGAGCCACGGCAGCAGAAGAGAGGAAGAAAAAGAAAGAAAAAACTGGGTAGAGAGAAAGTATGGAGTCGTTTTCTCCATTTTGCCACGCAAAAGCTCCCTGTGCCAACTTGCAGCAAAAGTAGCTGCGTGAACCAAAAACATCCATTCCTCTTCCAGGGAATCACGGGCAGGCATGGCTCCAACCTGAGGGTGGCTGCAGTCAGGGTGTAAAGATGAAGTGGGCAAAGTGGGGAGGAACTGACGGAGAGTTTTACCAAACTAAAAAAGAGCAGCAGAGAGGCGATGCCCCTCAGATGTGGTACGATTCCCATTTAGATGCGCTTCTTTCAGAAGTTGTATGTTATTTTTTTCCAAACTTTTCTAGTGAAGTTCACAGCATTCACTTATAAAACGTCCACCCCACCACGTGCTTTTGTTTATTCTTTTTTTTTTTTTTTAGCACCACCCGATCAGCCATACCCCTCCTGTCAACAAGGAGCGCCCTGCGTAAAGAGCGCGGCCCCTTTACGCAAGCTCGGCTGCGTTTTACTGGGAAAGGGGGGGGCTTTGCGACGTCACTCCCGCTTCCTGACAGCGAAGAGCACGCGCTTGTAAATAAAGTAAATCAAATGACTGCGTAGCCATGACCACACGCTCCCCATAACTGCACCGGCTGAATGAGTGGACCATTACTGCACACCTCAGCGCACCCAAAAGCAACCCCTCTGCGCGACGTGTCCGTGGGTAAACTCTGAGCTCTCTGCGACCAAAGAAAAAAAAGGGGGGTAGAGATGAGGTTTGTGTGTACGCTGAAGCCAAATTTGAATAAAAATAAATGTAAAAAAAGGTAGGGGAGCCTGCAACAGGGTCAAAATATGGGAGATGGGAAACGCATCAACAGGGGGAGGGGGTGAAATCTTTTTTTAGTGGTGAGAGGGGGGGCTCTGAAATGAAGTCATGGAGGCATACACTTGACTTTCTTTGGCATGTGAAAAAGTAGAAGAAGTCAGAGCTCATCAATAAAACACTTTTGAGGTGAAAGAGGGCTCCCTAACAACCATCGCATTCCTGACTGCGGGTTCAATGAGTAGACAAACGACTCTGCCAGGGAAAGAGAGAGAGGGAGAAAGGGGGGAGACAGGGAAGGGAAGGAGGTGAGGGCCTGCTCTGCTTGAATGGGGCCCTCAGTGGGCCGGCGAGATAATGAGCTGAGAGGAGCGGCTCAAACTGTCACCGAGGGTCCCGCAGTGAGGAACAACACTTTGGCCAGTGCTTCCTCATCAAACAACCCGTAAACTAAACGAGCACATTCATCTGTTTCTGCTGGCTGCTTTGTTTCTACTTACTCAGACTGGTGGCTGTGCCTATGGGCCTGCAGCGAATGCTCCCAAGCTTATATCATCTGAAGAGGAGGAGGAGGGGGGTCCAGAACATTTTTACGTCAATGACCCCTCATATTAGACATGCATTAGACCAAAAACATCCCTCCCTCCTCTGCTTCTCCCCCTCCTCCTAGTAAGAAGTTTGTGACACAGTGGACCTTGACTTGGTTCCAATTAAATTGTAGGAGGAGCTTAGTTTGGACTTTAAATATTCATTATTTTTTCCAAAACTTTAGATTGATAAAGCTTTGGTGAAATAAAGTTAGATTGATTCCTAATGCTCAGTGAGAGCTGCAAGGTTGTGAGGTTTTGAACATTTTTAGGCAGAAACAGTTTCAGCCTTTTTTTAATTTGACTCCAGAGTCTGAGAAATATTGAATCCTCTCTCCAAAGTACACCGAGGCGTACTTTTGTTTTTGCCACTCATTTGTCACAGGGTGCAGCTGTCAAATAAAACAAAACAAAACAAAAAAATGCACACCACTAACCTGCCTTCCTTTGACAGGCAGATTCCCAGAGGAGTGTCAAGTAGTTTTCTTTAGAAACAAAAGCAATGGGTTATTGGTTTCTTTTTGGTTAAGCATGAAATCCGCTTTAACAACTAATTCCTTGTCTTCACACTGTCTAAGAGGTTATGTAGGCCTATTCTCTCTTTTTTTTCTTTGGAAAAATCTCTCCAGATATATTAATCAGTACGCAGTTTTAACCTAATAAAGATGTTTTAAAATATTTAGAGCTACATCAGCTGTTTTGTTAAATTGCAGCAGATAAAGTTTGTTCAATTAAATATAAAAAGTATAAAGAATTAGAAGGGGGGTGATGGGAAAGCAATTAGCCCATTTCGGATTAGCAGCAATAATGTCACAGGCCCTGAAAGGGAACCCTAATCTGCTCACTATTTCCCCCCTGAGGCAAAGCGTTGTTTGTATCCTTCTGGAAACTTTGGGATACAGAAAAGAGGAAAGAATGAATGAATAAAAGAAGTAAATAAAACAATAAGGACAGATCTGAAGTGAAAACATTTCTTTCATTGCTGAGGGGAAAGGAGATCTGCTGGAGAGTAAACTAACAAGTTTCATTATATGTTTTTTTTTTTTTCAGCAGACACTGTGATGAAATTATTGGAGATCAATTTGATTCAATCTAAGGACATCGTTATGCTTTATAATGTTTATTTGCTCCTTACATGTAGTTATTTCTCGAAATCAACCTTCCTTCCTGGAGGTCACAGTTTATCAGGGCATGTCAAGGATATTTTTTTCTATTTAAAAAAATATATATTAAGATTTTCTATGACATAACCACCTGTTTCCAATTAATTTTACTTAAAGAAGAGATAATCATTAAAAAACAAGGAATGACAAAAAAATCAGGTGGTTGCATTCAAAATCAAAATTTATTTCATTTAATTTTTCATTATTATGTCTGTCATGTAAAGAGGTGAATAGGTTTTAATAAACAAAATACTTCGCAATGAAATAAAATATTTTATATTGAAATGTTTTCACTTAACATTTTACATGATTTCTTATTTCTATTTGCTAAATACACATTAAGTTATCAGAGTTTTGTTTTTTCCTTATAAAGTAACCACATCTTGCATTTTTAATAAGTATTTATTGCCTAGAATTCAGGACATTGGGAAATGATGTCACATCATTTATATTATTTTTGAAAACTTCTTATATGCATTTAAACATATGTTGAGAAGTATTTACAGACCCTGGGCTGTATTCTTCCTGTCACTGTGATTCACCAAACATCCTCAGACTGACACATTCACTCATTTTAATGGGATGCATGAGGACACCGACGTTGCTTTATTTGCATATGTCATTGCTAAGTTTAATAAGTTGCATTTGGACTTATTCTGCAGAAACTGCTCTAATGCTCTGAGGTTTCATCAGCCGGTTCCTCTTCCACGTGGAGCGCGACCAGAAGCAGAGGAAGCTCTGCTGAAGGCGCGTCTTTTTTTCCACACACTGTGTTTGTCCTAAGGGATCATGGCAGAAGAAAATGGTTTCTAGTTGTCTAAATGTTGCTAGTCTCCTCTTATCAGCGCCTTTTAAGGGAATCATATAAGCAAACACATGAATTAAAAAAATTTCTGCCTTATCCTCTAAATCTAAAATATACTGCAGTTTAAAATGTTCATGTTTCTGCACCGGATGGCTCGGTGCTTTGCTGCATGATACTTGAGGTGAGCAGAGCTGGTTAACCCTCACCTGGAAAAAGGCTCCAAGTTTGGAGAAACTATGTGTCTAATGGTGTCACATTAGCCCGTGACAAAAAGAAACACAGAGGGTAAAAAAAGCTGAGTCTAAGGCAACAAGAGGAAGGGAGAGCTGTAAAAAATATATAGGCTTTTGATTGGTTTGATAATAACAGATAGATTCTTTCCACTTTGAAGGCACATTTTTACTAAACTTAACCTCACAAATTTATAATATTATTTCTCTGAATAAAGCATAGGTTTAAATCTGAAAAAAAAAAAGACCTGCAGGTGAACATTTCCGCTGCCGGACAGCAACATGTCCACAAACTACTGGGAAAAGCTGCGCGCTGGATGTGAGACCGAATATAATCTGACAGCAAAATTCCTTCCGATCACTGTATTTAGAATCATGTTGTTTCTTTGATTATAGAGGAACAAAATATCTACTTTCTGTTTTTATTTTTGTTGATATATATATATATATATACACACACACATATATATATATATATATATATATATATATATATATATATATATATATATATATACCGAATATTTTTTCCTCGGAAACTGTAAATCTATGCATATTCTCAAACCGCGCTTATTTTTTAAAACACCAACAGCTCTTCAAAAGTGCAATAAAAAAAGCTCACCGGGGTTGAAGGCAGCAGCGGTATCAGTGTATCCTGTGAATATAAGTTCGCTTAGTTCCTCCGCAGAATTTCTCCTCTCCAACGTTTAGGTCAACAATTCAAATTTGTCTTCCTTTAGATCCGTCGTGGAGTTGAAATGTCAGTGAGAGTGAGGAGGGGTTAAAAATATGCAGCTCTTACCAGCAACTTTCCCCTTCAGCATCAGCCTGAAGTTGGCAATGATTGGCTGGAGCGACGGGTCGACGTCACACCTTGGACTGAGAGTGGTGGAGCTCAGGACCGGGAAGCGGGCAAGGTGGCCTCCATGTGGAGCGCACCGGTCTGGGCGCTGAGCTCTGTGGAGCTGACCAGACTCTGCTGACAACCCGCGATATTATAAAGTGTTTTAGTTAGATTTTTATCAAATATATTTAAATATAAGTTATCTTTTTGTTCCCAGGTTCCTCTAGAGAAAGAGGATAAGATGCGGGTCAGTGGCGCACCCGACGGGGGTGGGGGGTCATATAGGGGCTAATGGTCACCTGTGTAAATTTACTTATTAAGTTTCTGAACTTACTTTTCAATCAACATATTATTATTTACAGTTTGTGTAAATGTTTTTTTGTTAGTTACTTATAGAGGATGTTTTATGTTATATTAACTAATCTTCTGAGGACCAACAGGCCTGCTGGGGACCAAAGTGGTCTTCTAATGTAGCGGACCCCATATTTTTTATATTAAGGAATCAGTTTAAGTAATTTCCCTCTGGGATTATTAAAGTATTTTTGATTTTGATTCTGATTCTGAGTTGGTGTGAACTGATTTTAGGTTAGGATAGGGTTAGCAATATACTGGAGATGCTCATTGTTATGGTTAATGTCCACAAATGCAGTAATTAAAATGAATGTAAAACTA